CCATCACTACCATTCCCCCTTTTCAGCTGTTTCTTCCCCTTTAGTATGTAAGGGAGATACCGTCTTGCTTCTCTCTAGAGCCTCAGCTCTCAAGACAGTGCCTGGCACTGTGGAAGTGCTTAATAAATGCCCCATCTACTTATATTCCCCTACTTCAACTCCCTTGTCTATGCAGGTCCTATCTTAATCTTTCCATTGTACTGCACTGGAAGATGGTGTGATGTGGAGACCTTGACTTAGTTTTGGCTCACTCTGCCATCAACTAATCATGTGATGGGAAAGAAAAGCCCTTAACCTGCCTGTGCTCCAGTTTTTTGTTTGCAAAACAAGGGGGGGGGGTTAAAGAATCAGAGAAAAGCTCAATCTCTGCCTGACCAAGTTCACCTTAGAGTACACCTGGCGGATGGTCATCCAGCTTTAGCTTGAAGACCCCACACGAGGGGGAATTCGGAATCCCCAGGCTGCCCATTTCACTCAAGGAGAGTATGCTTGGAAGCTCTTCCTTATGTTGGATTAGATCATTTCTTTTTTTTTTTTTTTTTTTGGTGAGGCAATTGGGGTTAAGTGACTTGCCCAGGGTCACACAGCTGGTGAGTGTTATATGTCTGAGGCCGGATTTGAACTCAGGTCCTCCTGACTATCCACTGCACCACCTAGCTGCCCCTTGGATTAGATGATTTCTAAGGTAGCTATAAAAGAACGTGATTGTATTCCTGAATTTTCAGTTGTCTGTTGGGCATTTCGACTTGGATGGGCAACATTTCCCTTAAACTCAACATGTCAAAAGCCAAACATATCATCTTTTCTATAAAGCCACATCATTCTCCTCCTGATCTCTTTTTCCTTTTGACAGTAACATCATTCTCTTATAGTCATTTTTCACTCCTTTCACTCCCAACAATATCTGTCTACTTACTACTAGCTGGTACAGTGCAGAGAGCACTTGGTCTAGTCAGGAAGACTTGAATTCAAATCTGCCCTCAGATACTGCCTGGCTATGTGATTCTGGGCAAGTCACTTAACCTCTGCCTGACTCAGTTTCCTCAGCTGTAAAACAGGAATAGCACCTACTGTATCCCAGGGTTATTTTGCAGATAAAACGTTTCTAAAGTACTTTGCAATCCTTAAAGCCCTATGAGTTAATGCTAACTAGCTTTTACTAAAACCTGTCACTTCTTCCTTGGCATTTCTTGTATCTGACCTTCCCTCTCATGCTATCCTTCTGCCCCCTTAGCTCAGGCCCTATCTTGTGTTAAGGATCACTTTTTCTCATGGAAACAACGACATGCATGATGGTTAAGACTAGCCCCTATTTGATTACAAAGCAGAAACCAGAAAAGTCAATCGAGAGGAGGAAAAGGAGACACTAGAAAGGGAAATGAGAACTCAGCGGGAGAGTTTAATGATCAGCTGCCCTGGTAGTGGCAGCCCTTCACAATCTGGCTCTACCCCTACTCTCACAAATTCCAAGTTCCAGGACAATTGGCTTCCTTGATGTTCCTGTAAGTTAGCCCGGGCTGCCCCTCCCCCATGGGTGGGCTTCTCTCTCTTCCTCTTCCCTTCTTGGAAGGTGGCTCCCTAGCTCTCCCTGCAGTGCCCCCATCCTTAGCACTCACCACTCCCACTCCTTGATCTTGTTTTGTTATCTTTTGTGTTGTCTGCAATGGATTTGTTTTTCTATTGCTAGTACTTAGCAAAGTGTATACTACATAGTAGTAGGTGCTTAATAAACTAGTTAAATTGATTCAATCCAAGTGAAGACCTTTGGTGTTCCTATTATAGACAGAAGATCCTGGACGCCACTTAATGTGCTCACGGTCAGAACCCCCGGGGAAGAATGTCCATCCCAACTGGGGTCCTGCGGCCCTGGAATGGCCTAGTTTGGGGGGGTTGACTACAGCCTTTGGTGTACTAACGTAACAGCTGTGGTTATTTCTTGGCCGTGGATCGGATCAGATCCCCTGAGCCTTTCTTTAATCTTTTCCCTGATCCAGGGAGAAAAGCCAATGAGAAAGAACGGCAGGCTGCCCTAAAAGTGGCAGAAGACTTCATTTCCCGGATGCGGTACGCCCCTAATACCCAGGTGAGGCCCCCTCTTCATCCCCTCTGGTCATGGCTCCACCCCTAGGGCTCACACCTCGACACTCCTCCTGGAGCATCTCCCTTTCAGGCTTGGATCTGTTAGGGACAGTCGTTTCCCTTAACGCAGATTAACTGAGTGGGAAGGCCAGTCTCAATGGGTGAAAAGTCTAAACTACAGAATATTTTTACCCAAGTCACAGTTTTATTATTTAAGCACACAAAATCCTAACAAAGTCATTCCTAGCAGGGAGGAACAAAACAGGAAGGTCTCCTTTAATGAGCCAAAGGCTTCATTTGCAAATCTCCAACTACTAAGACGTTGTTAGAAGCACATTCTCTCACTGACCCTCTCCCCCAAGCTTATTACGGTATTTCTCGGCTCAGCACACTTTCATCACAGAGGACAGAAGTCAGCCTCAGGACAGTCTATTAACACAGATTCTACGGGTACCTAGGTTTTATGATTGTCTCTGGTAGGACTGGGAAGGGGGGAGGAGGGCGTGTTCGGTTTTAAAGACCTTCAGATACTAGAAGTCCTGCTGTGAACACACACACACATACACATTTTCACTGTTTTTGCAGGTAGAGATTCTGCCACAGGGTCGGGAAAGCCCCATCTTCAAGCAATTTTTCAAGAACTGGAAATGAGCATTCCCGCTTTCCGCCCTTCTGCCTTGTTTCCCTAGCCCTTCAACCACAGATTATACTACGGTTTCTACTTTGCCCTACCATGGCTGGCCAATGGTTACCCTGTGCCCCTTAGCCACTGTGCCTTCTTGCGTCATCTCCAGCCCCTTGTGCTTGGTCATCTCGGAGTTAATTAAAAGAAATGAACCGGTTCCACTCTCCCCCAGTTCCTTGGTGTCCGGACCAATCCCGACGCTGATCCTTGCTTTATTTCCTTCTCTGCTAGGTATGTCGGGGGTGGAACATGGGCTTGAGAACTAGGCAAAGGAGGCACGGAACATGCCCAGGCCTGGAGTCTGGCTTCTGGCTCAGGCCCATCTCTGGCCTCAAGACCAGGCACAACCTACAGCAGCCTGGGGAGGGGGCTCTGTCACTGCTCTGCCCTGGGACCGTTAATGGCTGTGGGATGGCAGTAATGAACCCAACGTGACTCGGCAGTCTCTCAGGTTTGGGCTCCATTTTCAGAGTTGGAATTAGTTTGGTTTTACATTCCCAAGTAAGATAATCCTTTGGCAAGCTCCCGATTCTTATATATCTTAGTAGATAATTGGTCATACATACAATTCCATCATAAACCAATAATCTGGTTTTCAACTATGCCCTACAGAACCGAGTCTCCTTACCCAAGAATCACATCCTCTAAGTATTCTGGGAAGAGAAAGCTGGATGAAGGAGACATCATAAAGACACAGGTTCCAGTTTTGGCCTAGCCTTTAACTAGCTCAGAAACAGTGGGCGGGCGAGTTTCAACTTCTCTCCATTTCCTTCATCTCTAAAATGAAGGGGATGGACAAAGTGGTCTCCAAGGTCCCCCCTAGCTTTAGGATTCCATGTCTCACATGTGTTAATAGAAGATCTATTTTATACAGCAATGACACAGAGAAATGGGGGTGAGAACAGCACCCCTGAAATAGGCATGAAACAGAAAAATGCTACATTCAATAGGGCCACCTTTTTACTTGAATTACTCCAGACCAAACTGCCGTCTCTGGGCTGATATATTTAGCTGGAGGCTTAGCCGTAGATCTGGAGTCCAGCATCTGGAAGATTCATACGGGAACTTTCTGTAACCTGAGAACTGTTACTGATTATTTGATCTAGGTGTAAATATGAGGTGATCCCAGGTACTCTTCACTGTTACTCCTGACTTGTCACCAAAGTAATGAACAAAAAGGCATTTATTAAGTGTTCCCAATGTGCCAAGCACTGTGCTAAGTACTAAGGATAAAAATACAAAAGAGTCATGCCTGCCACGCAGAGGCTTCTACTCTAACCTCTATGAGGGAGGGTGGATGGCCGGGGAAGGCACTTTGGTCCAGAACATTTCAGAAAGCGAGTGGGGCCCCATGGAAATAGATCACTGTCTCCGAGAGCAGCACGTGGCTTTTTAGAGGGAAAGGAAAAACCACATACAGCCCTTAAAATTAAGTACAAAATACCGTTTTTCTCCAAGTTTCTCCAATTTCTACACTTCTGAGTAAACCCTCTGTTGTTCTAGCTGGTCTGGTAAGGCCCTAGATAGTGAGAATTAGAGGAGATAAACAAGAAATTAGTCCTTAAAACCAGTTCATATCAGCCTGGAGCAAATTCCAGGGTAGACTCAAGTTCCTGTTTAAAAGACAAAGTCTTTATTAGGGCAGTTTTGAACGGCTGGAATTTGTGTGCTTGGACATTCCTTTCCCAGACAGATTGGTGGGAATTGAGGGGGAGGCTTATGTTCTGGAGGAGTAGAGGCCTGGGCTGTAACAGACAGCAGTTTAAGGAGGTGGAGAGGAGAAGGGGAAATCTTAAGACCAACCTAGGGCGGGGCTGAATCCTCACCTGGTTGTGAGCCCAGAGCTCTGCATGCCTGATCAAGGGTTATCTCAATGGCAACTGGAGGAAAAGTCAGGCAGAGGACAACACGAAGGAGTAGTTCTGAACCCCTTCTGCAAGACAACCTGGGTTTCCATTTTCTCTCTACACAGTTCCTGGTTCCCCTACTTTAACCGAGGGTGTTTCTGGGGCCTTTGAGGGTGTGGGTTCCATGTGACTCAATAACTCACGTTTGACCAGGGCAAAAGGCAAACACATCCCTTACCCAAGACCCTTACAGACCATAGCTACAAAGAGCAATGTACAAGACGGCTTCCTCAGTACTGAGCCCCCCTTCTGTGCTGCTGCTGCTGCTGCTTCTAATTCTAATATACTTAGAAAATTAATGCAAGGAAAATAAAAATTCTGTGAGATCCTAAAACTTTGACAATCATTTTTTATTTGAAAACTGCTCGTGCGAACGCTGGTCCTTCCCCCGCCTGACCATTTGTAGCACTATCACCGAACCCCAAAGGTGGCAGTCGTGGGGTGGTACACAGGGGCAGGGGCCGTCAGCCTGGAGGAGCCGCTCAGCCCTGACAGACAGAATAGCAGAAGGTGCCCTCAGGCAAGCCTCCCTTGGGCCAGGCTTCTGCTGACTGCTGCTGTTTCCTGGGGTGGCTGCTATTACTACCTTTTTTCTTTTCTTCTAGACAGCTTCTCTTCAGGCTCAAACTAATTTTGCTCCTAATCAATGAGAGCCTGGAAAGCTCTTATGCCCAGGGAATGAGTCTTCTGTTGGTCTGTTCTTGATCATAAGTTCATGTCTCTTACCTCAATTCTCCCCATCCTTCACACAAATATTCTGCAAAGCAAAGCTTAAATCCACCCATCGTCTCTGCCGAATTTCGAAGCAGGACTGGGCATATAAACTCCATGGAGTGGGGCCATTTCTAAGTTTGGATGCCTGTGCATCCCATGGATCTGACCCACAGCCGGGGGGTCTCCAGGCCAGGATTCTCCCTCTAAAAGCTATACCTCACCAATAGAGAAAAGGGTTGAGCAGGCCTAACCAAGCTATTCCGAGGTGATGGCCTGCATGGGCTCCTCAGGATCTCCAAGCTCTGGCATCTAAATCGTGGGGCCTCTGGAGTCAAACAGCCTGCACTCTCTCTGTTGTGTCCAGCTGTAGGTCGCATACTCCTGTGAAGGTGAGGTTCTTGGGGTAGTTGTCGTCTGACCCAGAGACATTCTGTGCTCCTGACAACTCCATCAGAGACAGCCCTTCGGTGCCTTTGGTCAAGTAGGCGTCCAGGTTCCGGAGCAGCTGTTTTGGATTCTTTTTGGCCAGTATTTCCAGGTCTGGAATGGATAACAGTGGAGAGACCCTTTTATCCAATCCAGATAAAAGGATCTGACAGCTCTTTCATCTGAGATAAGCCTTTAGGCTGGCCCATGCAGCTAGAAAGCCCAGGACCCTGAAGGTAATAGCCTGGGAAAATATTCCTGGACTCTGGAAGCTCTGGGTGTTCCAAATGAGGAAGCTTCAAGAGAAGACAGCAGAAAGGTCTTTTCAAAGGTACCAAATTCAGAACTAGGTATGAGAGCAGTACTGGGGCACGTTGGGAACCAAGAGAAACTAGAAAAGTGGGGTATAGACAGTGAAGAAGACAGAAACAGTGGCAAAAGAAAAAGAAGCAGGTCTAAGAGACACACCAGTCATAAAGGAAGTCTGATATAGAACTGGTGTAAAGGCAGAGAAAGACCAGATATCTTATAGACCCTACAGCTGAAAGAACTGGCCTTGAGGATTCTCAGGTTCCCCTGGGGGGAGATGGAAGCCCCGCCTGGTCTGGTCCATACCTTTAAGAACAAAGCTGGAGTCTAGAATGGTTTTCTGCTGTGTCCTCCAGACGTAGGCAAGGCGGAGGAAGGTGGCTGCATACAGGTTATTCACTACAGGGATCACCGTGTGCTGCCGATTACATTCCCTACACAACAGTGAAGGAGAATGGGAGTCACTGACTTTTAAAAGCTCTGCAAGTTATTCTTCTACTACCTGTTAATGCAAGGGAAAACCTCCAGAGCTGCCATTCTTCCCATCCTACGTCTGCATCTCACCTCCCGTTCGTTAGTCAAAACAGCCACAAACAGAGGCCATTTTCTGATGGTTCCCAGGTTGTGCGTGGCACGGGCTAATGCCACTTACTTTCTCCAGCAAAGCCCAGGGTGCCTAAAATGAACTTACTCTCGCTAAAGAAAGGCTCCCCTCAGCAGCAGTGCTGAGCAGAGCAGTAAGTATGGACTTTACCACAGACTCCATGCCCATAAGTGGCTAGTTACGGCACCGGAGGGGGATAAGGGATGGTCTTGCCAACCGGTCCTCAAACGTGCCAAGCCTCCTCGAGCCAGCTAATCTTCCATGAGAGCTGCCTGGGGACTCACTTGGAGAGGCACTCTTCCCGGAGGGCCTGGATCACTATTCGAGTGATGTTTACCGACATCACGCAGAAGGGAAAGTGCTGGAACAGAAACGACATCAAGTCAGGGGCAGCACTAGCTCTCTGCTGCCTTTCCCCCCAATTTCTACATTCTAGAACAGCTTTGGGGCCATCATGCCACCACCATTTCCATGAGCTCCACTTCGTTAGGGTGGAATCTGAACCCAACGTCCAGCCACACTCCCTATGTGTCACCCCATGCCCCTAAAGATGAGGGGGCAATATAAGAAAGGGTCAATTCCCAAATATTCAGCAACGGACTCTGAAGAGGCGGCTCAGGGCCTTAGAGTCTCTCCTTTCCACTCTTGGTCTCTGGCTGTTTCACCGTGAAGTAGTCCCTCCACCCAAAGGTGGGCAGAGATGGGGGATCATTTCTCCTTATGGTTAGCACCATCCGTTACTACCAGCTACCAAGAACAGGCTGAACTCCTTTTCAAATATGTCACAAGCATAGGGTTAAGCAAGATACCAAGGTGGCCTAATGGATTCCATGGGACACTGGGCTAGGAATCAGGACGCCTAGGATCTAACCTAAAATCAATTACTGACCAACTCTGTGATCTTGGACAAGTCGTGTCAAGTTTCTAAGCCTGTTTCCTCATCTGTGAAATGGGGATAATATCTACCATACCTATCTCATTCACAGGGTTGTTGTTGTAAGTACCTAATGAGATAGTATGTGACGACACTTCTAAAACTGTAAGGTCCTATTCAAATTTAAGGTATTATCATAAGATACATTTTAAAGAGCAAAAAATAACTTAGGAGCAAGTTTCTAAAATTTAAGACCAAAACCAATTTAAAAGCAAAACTGAGGGGCAGCTAGGTGGCACAGTGGATAGAGAACCGGTCCTGGAGTCAGGAGGACCTGAGTTCAAATCTGGCCTCAGATACTTGACACTTTCTAGCTGTGTGACCCTGGGCAAGTCACTTAACCCCAACTGCCTCACCAAAAAAAAAAAAAAACCAAAAAAAAAACCAAAACCTCTCTGCCCTGAAGAACTTTATTATGTGATAGTGGCTGCCTGCTATTCAAGACCAATTGGATCAGGTACACTGCTCCAAAGAGCTGGGCCTAAAGGAGCCTGGGGTGAGGCCCAAGTCCCTTGAGGAGAAGGTGCTCTTTCAAACACATTTAGCAAACTCCAGAGGAGATCCTGGGGTCATTCCTTAGGCTGGGTGCCCCAAACTTATCCAAATTTATCCCTAATCCATTTAGATGGCTCAGACACCTGGATATAGAAAATTAAGTGGTCCTCATTCCCCAGACTCCTTTGTTGAAGACAATGAACATCACTGAATCCACGATAGCAGCGGTGAGGTCCTCTCTCAGTCTCCTCTGCCCTGAAGGGCCTACAGGCAGCCTCAGTGAACACAGGCCATCTAGCTACTGTGAATCATTTTGTTCACAGGCCATAATCGACACTGAAGACAAAGCAGGCTGGATTCCACATACAAGGAGTCAGAGTTTTTTTCTTAGGAGACCACGATTCTTCAGAAACCAGCTTAGAGCTTTGTTCTGGGACAGCACAGTCACAAAGACAAGACATTCTGGTCTTTCCCTTTTCTGAACAGAGGGTTGCAATAAGAAAAAATGCCACAAAGGTCGATGTTTTGGGGGCAAACAGTTGTGTAAGAACTACTTAGGCATTTTCACTTCCGCCCTGGATGCTGGAGCTAACAATGCACACGGCAGGAAACAGGGTCATGGGCTGAAGGAGAATGTAATCCAACCCCTTCGTTTTACACCTGTGGACGCTGAGGCCCAGAGAGGGAAAATGATATCCAAGATGACATAAAAAGGGGAAAAAAAAGCAGTATTTGAACTCCAGGCCTCTACCTCTAGACCCAAGGTCATGATGAAAACACCAGAGGCAAGAGAACTAGATGTGGTTTCCCCTAAAGCCTCAGAGAAAAACAATAAGAGAAAAAAGTCTCCAAAGCTGAGCGAGCTAGAAATGTGCTTTCAGAATGGCTTCCCATTTGATTTCCAGGAGAAGTGAACCACCCTACCAATGATATTATCCTTATTTAAAATAAATAAATGGTAATGCAGGAAGAATTTTATTCATGGAAATAAAAGTGCACTTTGCTATTTACAGCAGAGAATGCCTTTGGAACCAAATGATCTGAGCTAAATCCTTGGGTTTCTGACAAAATGTAATCCCTCTTTTTCTGTCCCTTCCTTCCAGATGGCTCTAAACACTCCTCCAAATCACATAAACCTTCATGTTCTCTCTGAACCAATCAACCGAGCATTGAAGCATTGTGTCCGTGTGCTAGGCACCGGGAATCCAGAGGCAAGGGCAGAACATTCCCTGACCTCAAGGATTTGGAGTCCGTTGGGGAGAGAACATGCACACAAGGATGTAAACCCCAAAAATACGAGAGTGAATGCAAAGTAAGTGGGAGGCGGCTTTGTTGTTGTGTGTCCTTTGTTCTTGAAGAGGACCATGGCATCAGGGAGGTGACGCCAGTGAACTGGATTGAAGTGAGGCAGGGCTGTGCAAAGTCAGCAGACTCGCTTTCTCCTCTGGAGCCATCTGGGTCCAGTGGCCAGAGAGAGATCAGGACAACGGGAGAAGGGCCCCCCCCCCCGGCAGTGGGGAGGGCGAAGGGTGGAGGAGGAGGAAATCAGGAAGGCTTCACATCTACCATGGATTCTAAGAAGGGAGGCAGCGAGAAGGGATTTAAATGCCAACAAGGGGGCTCTATTTTATCTTGGAGGTAACAAGAACTCGACTCTTGACAAAGACAACTAGCACCGTGCCTCGTACGCAGTCGGTGCTTAATAAAGGCCTGCTGAATTGAAGACGCTAGGGTCCCCGAGTGGGGCAGTGACTCATCTGGGCTCACCAAGTCTGAAGCTGGACTATGACAGCAAAAGAGGGCCCTGACTACCCCACTGAATAATGGGGACCTTCCCCTGTCATTAACACGCCCCGACGGGACGGCTTGGGCAGAGAGTGGGCCTTAGAGCTCTCAGATGCTGCTCCTGGGTGTGACCTCGGGCAATGCTTTTACTTTATATAAAATGCTCACTTTCCCCTTTTAGGGTCAGAGAACAAAGATTCACGCAAACGACTGAAAAGTGGAAAGGACAGGAATTCTACCATGGAACATTAATTCAGGCTTATAGGAGGCCCCCGTCTGGGGTTACAGTAAGGCTACCCAGGCCTGTGGCCTGCTGTGAACGTCCCCCAAACCCCTCACTCGACCCAGGACTAGCCGCAGCGCCAGTTAGGACACGGGTGGACATCCACAGATACCCAGGCCAGCCGTACCTGGATGTGGTGCTGGGAAAGCCGGAAAATTTCATGGGCTAGCAGAAGGGTTTTTGAGTCCATCACAAGGTAGAGCAGATGCAGGAGGGCCAGGAAGCCTGCCCCTCGAAGGTCTGTGGCTGGGTTTGATCCTGCAACATACAAGTTTTGGAGAAGTGGAGAGTGACCAGTGCAGTAGGAAGCTGAAGGATGGGTCTTACCTGGGGGTAGAAGACTCAGGAACTCACTGATCCCTCATACCTCCCCTCCCCGCAAGGTCCTAGACAATGCCCAAAGGAGGGCCCTCTTCCCCAGTGCCATTCCTTGACCATTATCTTGCATGGTTCTAAGAAGGTAATGGGCATGGTGCAGCAAACACTGGGTCAAATCTGGTTACCCCAATGATCTGGGAGCAGCTCCCCTACTTTTACAGACCAAGACAAAATGGGCAGATAATTTTGGTGTGTTCCTACTCGGAATCAAAGGAAAGGTCCAAAGTCCTGTACAAGTCCTTTCTATTTACCAGTTAAAAGAAAGAAACAAATTGTTTCATTAGCCTCCCCCTCCCCCTTGGCTCAGACAGTCACGTGACTGCTGCCCTCCAGGCCCCACACTCACTACTCCACTTATAGAGATGAGCCCCATCTCTCCTTCTACCCCACCAAGGCCCAGCAACCCCTCTCTGGCTGTGCCTCAGGGTGGGCTCTGCCACTGCAGGCCTCCAGCTGGATGTGGAGTGGGGGACAAGGGCCCTTTCAGCTCCACTCTCTGCTCTTCTTACCTTGAAAGCCCAGCTCTTCCCAGTGGGCTCCATAGAGGGCACAGTCAAATCTGGAACCCGTGAGCTTCTTATAGATGGTCTGAAGGACACGGCTGTGCACAGGGTCTTCGTGATCTAGGCCGCCTAGCTCATAAAACACAGAAGTCCCTTTTCTTTCCTGCATGCTTCCCCCATGCCAGCTCCCCAAGAGGGAGAAGAGCTCCAAGGTGGTAAGCTGAGACATCCCCGATCTGAAGCCAGGCCAGGCCAGAGGCAGGCTCAAGGCCCATCTTCTGCCCAAACCTTTAGCAGCTGCCCACCTTCCTAACTACCCAAAAAGGCCTCCATGCTTATACCTGACAGGAGATAAGGAGGCGAGTGGACCTCTCCCCCCACCTGCACCACATCTTTACAGGCATCTGAGGGCAGACAAAGTGGAGTAGAGAACAGGTCCCTTCCCACCCCCCGGGAGAGGACAGCTATGCCACCCTGGGTCCTGGCTCTATGGAGCGGTCACTTACACTGGGCGATGGCCAGGATTAAATCTCGTTCTTCCTGCAGGCCATCGCGCAGCTGGGGGGGCCCAAAGAGGCAGCGAAAGAGAGCAGAGAGCCCTCTCCGGGAAACTGCTGACTGGACCTTCTCCTGAGGAAAGGAAAGAAGGAATCAAATCCATTTACCAGCAAGCAGGGGCTCAGTGGGGTCCCGAGAGCCCCGCAAAGGACTGGATCCTGGGCCAGAGAACTGGAAAAGGACTTCGAAGGCCCTTGCTGGATCTTGGGGCATGAACCCAGCTAAGTCCTAAGCACTTTGCTGCCAAAAATTCCCCTCAAGCTCAGGCCCCACCACATACTGCTCAGCTTTTGGTACTCTTTTTAGACTTTTCTGGAAACAGGAGTAACGACTATCTTGACTCTTCATACCGTACTGTGGCTGTTGAGAAGCATCTGTGGGAAAGACCCCATGTGGCCAGGTATGTGTTAGTGCATGCTTTCCTGGTAGTCTGCTCCATGGGTTTCTCTCCTTTCCACATAGACAAGTATGACCAGGCTCTGTAGCACGCTCACGCTAGCCCGGGGACCTCTTAATCTTTTGTGTCATGGTCCCTTTTGGCAGTCTGGTGAAACCTCTATCTCACAATCATGTTTTTAAATGCAAGAAACACATAACAGAATTACAGATGAAACCGGTTTTACTAAAATATAGTTTTATACACACACACACACACACAACCACAGGACCCACATCATGATGCACTTCCTAAGCTAAGAAACCCAGGGTCAAGTGTATCCATGGCACAGCCTTCCACTGCCCAAGAATGCCACCCTTTCACAGCTGCTGCTGGCTCTTCTCGGTGGCCGGCCGGCGCTCCTCCAGCACAGCCCCACTCCTGTTCTCAAGGACTCCCTTCACTCCCTTTGTCCTAGACGAGACAAGGGTTTCTGAAGTCCTCATCGCTCTAAAGGTGACCCCTGGCCACTCAGGAGACTCCTGGGAGCCTCAGCTGGTACTTTCTGATTCTTTTCCCATCCCCACAGATTACATAATAATGACTCAGCTGAGTTCTTGCTCACTCTGGGCCCAGAGACCAATTCTGCAGCAACCACACACAGGAGGCCCTTCCCTCTGCTTGGCTGCTTTCTCTTGGTCCTGTGATGTAAATGTGGAGCCTGAAGAGAAGCTGGCTTGCTTTAGTCTTAAACCACAACATGGCCGTACCCTGCAAATGGAGAGGTCAGCTGCCTGGAAGTGCTGGAGGGCCTCGTTGAAGGAAATCAGCTGCCCGGGTCTGTCTGGGCTCTGCCAGCGGCCTGCACACAAAGAAGATCCAGCTCCAGGGTGCACAGCCTGTCTCAAAGCACGCTTGTATAGCTACCTGTGGTCCTGACTCACAGCCCAGAGTCTTATCCACCCGACCTCTGCTTAACAACCCATGTGGAAAAACCCCGGAGGACTGAAAACATGCAGGCACTGCTGGGCCTCCCTCAGCCTGTTCACCAGACGTAGGGACCCTTCTGATTTCCTTGTCTGACTTACCACAGCAGCCCAGACCTTAGGCTAGGGAAGAGGGAGTCAAAGAAGGGGGAAATTTGACTTTGGTGTGTCCTGTCCCCCCGCCCCCCATCCTGTTCATTTCAGCTAAGCAAGCTGTTAGCTGACAAGTAAGTCTTAACTGATGAGGACTTACTTAAGTTATATCCCTTTCAAGATGGAGTCTACAGGGCAGGGCTGGAGCTGTTCTCTCCCCCCAGGAAAGCCCTGGCTCCCCAGTTTACCCTCCCACCTCCCAGACCTTCAAAGGGCTGCCTACAACTATTCCCCAGAGGCACGCCAGGAGGATGCCAGAGCTGCTCATTTACTGGCTCATCCTCACAACCCTGAGGCAGGAATTGAAGAGTATTCGTTCTCCCCTTTGGACAGGTGAGGAGACTGAGACTCGGGAAGAGAATCTCTTCTGATTTAGTGACTTCCAACCTTTCTGAATTGAAGAACAATTTTGTGTGGCATCTCAGATGGCATAGACTAAATCAGAAGCACAATGCTCCGTTGGCATGTGGAAGAACAGATATCTTGCCAAAAGCTTGGGAACCTCTGCTCTGAGGCGTCAAGTTGTAGAGGAAAGATGAGAAGATGGAAGCAGCCTTGGCCCCATCTCACTGCTTCCTGTAGTTAAGGCACACAGGGCCCGAACTTCCTGCACTTACCTGCTCCTGGCTGAATATTTTCCACGGCTTCCCATTCCTCTTGGGCTCTGAGCACCTCCAGACTATCACCTGCAACCGAGAGAAAAAGAGACCTATCAATACTAGAACAAGCCTATAGTTTAAAATCTAAATTACTAAGTCAACACCATCGCTGTATTTTAAAAGGAGCAAGGGCTCTTGGGGGGCTGCAAGGACCTCTTTAATTCAGACCCTCCCAGTGCATCCAGGGCCATCTCTGGTCATCCCAATCGAAATCTGGCCACTGGACCCAGATGGCTCTGGAGGAGAGCGTGAGGTTGGTGATGTGCACAGCCCTCTCTCATGTAAATCCAATTCACTTGCAAGGCATGGCATCACCTTCCTGATGTCCTGGTCTTCTTTGAGAACAAAGGATGAACAACAACAACAGTAATTTACACCGCTAGTTTGGGGTCCAACTTGTTGAGCTGACTCTCCCTATCCCTGAATTAGACAGGAATTTGTTCTGCCTTTTCCCCAGCCATGTCTATGGAGGGAGCCCCCAAAAAGCCAAGATCTAGCTCAATGCTGACAGGAATTTTCTCCCCACAACAATGGTCTGATGCAGGCTAAAACAATTATTTCCCTTCTGCGTCCAGAGGAGAGGATTGCACAATAACTGACTTTTTTTTTTAAAGGATGTATTTTCCCATTGTCAGTGAATAATTATGGTCCCCTGCTCCTCAAAGTCAGGAGATAAAATCAAACAATCCTGCCTACAGTGACTGGAGAACTCAGCAGTTCCTGAGGTGTGCAGCCCTTCTCCACTGTGGTCAGAGTCATTAGAGGACAGGAATAGCCCCAATCCTGACCCACTGAGAAAAGCAAAGAGAAATGTCAGAGGTCACAGCCCATTAGCTCTGGCTCAGTAGAGAGCAGAAGGGAATATGGTGGGAAATTCCTAAACATTCAATTCCTAGGAAGTCCAATCACCAGTTTTGGGTGTAGTTTTTATGTAGCTGATGCTGACGTCTGAGGCTTATGACGTGTGTAGGTGAAACAGCTAAAGGAAAATGCTGGCTGATTTCAAGGAAAGAAGAGAGAGGCAGGAATAAATGCTGAGGCTGAGGCTGAAAGGAACTGAGCCCCCTCCCAATTTGCACGAGTGGTCACTCAGTAGCAAGTTAGAACCAAAAAGAGAGCCCAAAGACACTCAAGGAGCAGAAACTTGTGCTTCTCCTCTGGAAGGAGAAGAGGTGGGAAAGAAGCAAGAGGAGCTGGGAAAGGGATGTGTGGCATTGGAATTGTCCGGAAGGCTGCTGGCTCATGTGTGGAGACCCTAAGGGCTAGATTCAAACACAGAAAGGGAACTGAACTGAAGTAGGATCACAGATGTCAAAGTGGAAAGGACCTCAGGCACTCCAGCACAAACCACCTCCTTTCTCCAATGAGGAGACTGAGGTTCAGGGAAGTTCTATGATTTGCCCAAGATCACACAGGTAGGATGTCTAAGATTCAGGATTCGAACTCAGGTCCTGACTCTATTCCCCTGCAAGATATTACCTTCGCTGAGCAGAAGCTCTGAGAAGGAAGAATAGAAGGTATCTCTTCCATCTTTCTGGGTTCTTCTGTGTATATTCAAATGTTTATGGTTGCTGATGATTGTTAAGTTCCTAATAAAAAGGAGAACAATTCGAAAAGTGAAGAAGTCAAAAAGATGGTATCTGAGAGAGGGACTTGGATTTTAGGCCACAACTTAAAATACAGAAATGACAAGCTCTGGGCCGAGAGCGACCGCACCTCAGGAAAGGTTGGCAGGGATGGATTTACTTGGAGTCTTGTACCTCTAGTCAAAAGGGTTTGAGAGAGAAAAGGAGGGGAAGGGATAAACTGGGTACACATGTGTACTGTGCAACACACAGCAGGGCTTTTAACCGGCCCAGAAGGGTCTGGACAGGGATTTTCAGGAGGTCTGTGACCTATGATGAGAAAAAATTACAACCTTGTTTTTCACTAACCTCTGACTGAAACTTAGCATTTCCTTCCCTTCAATGGTGAATTTTCAAAAGACCATGTTATTCAGAGAAGCCCATGACACAAAAAGGCCAAGAGACCTCACCACAGAGGATGGCCAAATCAAGGAAAAAGAAGCCTGACACACCCACAAGTCCTTCACAAAAGTGAAGGACAACTCAAAGGTGGTTCTGAAAAAAATATATACTGAGAAATAAAGGTGGGTCAAAGCAGCAGAAGGATCACTGATCAGAGAAGACAACAGAGAGAAGGCAATGACTGAATTTTTATTGTGTTTTTGGCAAGAACGCTCTTTGGACGGAGAGGGACAGGACAAACACAGCTAACAGAGAAGTGATTCCCAAACTCAATAAGGAGAAAGTTAAAGAGCTCCGGGGTGCCCCCGACAAATTCAAGGGACTTGGCCCAGCAGAACTATATCCTTGGGGGCTGAAAAAACTAGCATGTGTGACTGCTGAGCCTCTATCGGGCATCTCTGGAGGGCCACAGAGCAATCATGTAAAGAAAAACACCACCAAGAGACTTAGGAAGGCAGCAAGAGGGAACGGGAATCTCACTTCCAGAGGACTGATGAGACACACTTACAGAGTCTGTACCACAGACCCGGAAAGCTGCAAATGCTGCCTCGTGGGGGCTTCTCTTTGCCACAAAGGAAGGCTCCAGGGTAGAGATAGGGTTACTAGAAAATGATAAAAGAAGCAAAAGCACCAAAAATATTTTTAAAAAAGAAAGATTGTGGAAAAAAAATAGGAGTAGAGAAGGTAAACAGCCCGAATTTTTTAAAAAAGAGAAGGGAGTCTGCCTGTAGGCCAATGAGCTTTATTTTTAATTTCTGAGAAAATGCTACAACATGTTATTAAAGGGATGGTTAGTGAACATCTTGAAAAGAAAGCAGTAATGACAAAGAGCTATCATGGCTTCATCAAAAACAGGTCATGTCAGACTAACTTTATTTCCTTTTGGACAGGATTACTAAGAGAGGGTGCAGGGGCATGTTATACAGTTTACCTAGATCTTAACAAAGCACTTGATAAATTCTCTCATGCTAAGCTTACAAACAAGATGGAGAGATGTTGCCTATACAACAGTAAGGCAGATTCAGAACTAGTGTAACGGCTGAACTCAGGCATTAATGGTTTAATATAATCCGGGTTTTCAGTGGTCTGTCCCACAGATCTGTAATTGGCTCTGCACTGTAGTGATTTCATTGGTCTGTCCAATAAATAAGTAAGTGGCACCATTATCAAAGCTGCAGGTGACACAAAGCTGGGAGGGATAGATAATATATTTGACGATCATGTCAGGATTCAAAAAGAACTTGATAAGTCAGAACACTGGGCTTAGTCAAAAAAGATGTAAGGATGAACAGATCTGAAAATTCAACTGTACAAGTAAAAGATGAGAAATGACTAGACAGCAGTCTATCTACAAGACATCTGGGCGTTCAGGGACTGCAAGATCCCTTAGAGTCAACAGGGTGACAGAGCAGCCAAGAAAATGAATGCCATCTTGGGCTCTATTTATTAAGAGGCATAATATCCAGTGCTAGGAAAGGGATGATACAGTGGTTCTTGGGCCCAGCCATGCAGCCTCTGGAGTGGAGAGTTCTATTCTGGGTGTGAATTAAGGATAGAGATGGGGCAGCTCGATGGTTCAGTGGACAGAGCACTGGCCCTGGAGTCAGAAGGACCTGAGTTCAAATCTGGCTTCAGCCACTTACTAGCTGTGTGACCCTGCGTAAGTCACATAACCCCAATTCCCTCTTCCCTGCCCTCCCCCCCCCAAAAAAAGGATAGACATAAGGGAAGGGTGTCCAAGGATAATAATGAGAAAGACTTTAAATTTATACCAGATAAAGAAATTGGAGGTGTTTAGCCTGTAGAAAGGAAGACCTGCTGAGGGCAAGGGAGACGTGATAACTGTCTTCCAGTATCTCATGGAAGACGATTCAACTTGTTCTCCAGATCGCGGAACTGAGGAGCATGCATGAAAGTTGCAAAGAAGCCACTGTGGGCTTGATGTCCAGAAAACCTCCTAACAACTGGCACTCTAGAAGATGGAAAGGGCTGCCTTGGAAGGTTATGGATACTCTCTAATGGGAGGCCGTCAAGAAAAGCTGAATGTGTTGTAGAGAAGCTTCACTTTCAGGTATGGCTTGGACTAGATGGCCATTGAGGACTTTTCCGCCTTTGAAATTCTGTGATTCTTTCCACAAATTCCATGACATTTTGTTCTTACAGGCTTCTCAAAATTTTTTGCACTGGTCTCTGGGGTAGGAATGAGCACCAGTTTAAAAGTGTGGAGAGACATGAGGATTCAGGCTCCTCTGGGACCATGGTTGATCTTGGAGGTTTGGAAGAGAAAGGGTCCTCACTCCAAGATCTCAGGACAAGGGGGAGGGGCTGTTGTTGAATATTCTGACTTGGTGTCATGGCAGATTGGCCAGAATAAAGAAAACCCCACCTGAAATGTCAATCGAGCACTTTAAGCACGGGGAGATGAGCCCAAACCGGTGTCTTTCTTCTTCTCTTAGTACTCCGTAAACTACTTTTTCTGATCTCCCTCTCTTTCTCTCTAGGAGATCAAAAGGTAAATATTCTTCCCTTTTTACAGCATAGGAAACAGAGACCCAGGGAAGATGACTGAAAAAACAACCCAGTAAAGTAGGAAAAGAACTGAGAATAACAATTGACATTGGCTTTCTTTCAAAGTGCTTTCAGGGATATTCTATCTGCTCCACACAACAATCTTCAAGCTAGGTAAGGTAGATATTATTATTCAAACTTCAGAGACTGAAAAATAGAAACAGAGACTAAATAACTTGCTCAAAATAACCTAAGAAATCAGCAGCAGAGCTGGAAGCAGGGCCTGGGGCTTCTGATGTATGAGCCCAGTGCCTGTGATCACACAGTTAAGCCTCTAGAATCCTTTGAAGGGAGCACAAGAGAAGCGTGATTGACTAAGGCCTGAGTCAGGTCATCCTCACACTGACAGAGACTCAAAGTTCTAAGCGTGCCTGGGGTTAGCAAGAAGGCTCACCGGCTGGCTCTACTCCACTGCCTTCCTGGGTCAGAGCCTGGAGGACTGTCTGGTACTTCAGGGCGGAGATCTGCAGGAACCAGAGACCATTAGTGTCAGGATGGATCAAACACACTTTCCTCCAGTGATGCCTCTATGAAGCTTCATTCGTTAAAATGCTCCATTGCCATCAGGGTTCCAAGCCCTGGAATTGATTAACTCCTGGGGCCTCAGGAGGAAAGATTCAGAGACAATATGAAATTACCAGAAAACCACAAGCTCAGAGTTCAGAGTAGCCCCACGGTGTCTTTTTTTGCCCTGTACTGAGCCCAAACTACAGTGATGACAATCCCAATCCCAGGCGTTCCAGGCAGACTGAGAAACATTAATCCCACATCATTCCAGATGAATCCTTTTTTAAATGGTCTGGCCCTTCCTCCTTTCATGGTCTCTGTTTCTAATTGTGTTATGCCAACACAATGAAGCGTCTTAACTAGTGTTCTAATACTTCATTCTTATAGAGCACTTGGAGGTTGACAAGGTGCCTTCCTCACAAGAACCTTACAGGGTTGGCAGTGCAAGTCTAATTCTCATTTTATAGATATGCAAACTGAAGCTTAGAAAGCCTATGTAACTTCCTCCTTGATCACGCAGCTAGTAGGTAGGAGTGAGGATTTAAATACAGGCCAGCTCTCTTTAAAGACACTGCTCTTTCCCCTAACCCCCAGTTACCCCAGGGTTGCTAATTGTGGGTGTGGACATACCTTAATGACAATATCTATAGGGTGGGGACTTTGCTTCCCTCTCAAAAGTTCCAGAGTCAACAATACAGCAGAGATGGTAAATGTTAATAATTAGAGTATATTTTTCCCAAAGTGCCCCTTGATTTTTGGGACAGAAGTCCAACTCCCGAGGGGTAAAGCCAGACCCTGAAATAAGGCTAACTGGAACTTGAAAGCCTACACAATCACAAGTAATAAGGTGGCAGTACGGAGAGCTAGAGGACATACATGGATATAAAAATGCTTGCTGAATGACTGATCTATGGGCACTTCTAAAAGTCAGAACTGGCACAGGTGGAGAGATACATACAGGTACACATCTGATGGCTGGAAGGAAGCTGCCTTGCTCATCAATTTGTAGAGAGGACTCAACAAAAGTCCTCAGAACCTAAAGGAAATAAAGAGAGGAATCAGTTGACTAGGCACATGTCCACTTCCCAGATAGGATCCCTAATTTAAATGATTCAAAAGCTTAATGACTGCAAGTGTCCCAATGCATCTTGACTCCAATGTTCCTGAAAATGGATTAATGTCTGAGAAGGAAACTTAAAAAAAGGGGAATAGAAAACTACTGACTGCCTCACATCCTTTTACAAACAGGGAAACGGAAGCCTGGAGGCCACAAAGATAGCGAGTAGCAGAGCTGAGCCTTGAGCAGGGCCCTCAGTTCGGGGCTCTCTTCCACGTCCCACACACTTGCCTCCAAACAAGCCTCCTTCAAGGTCTGATGCTACCAGGAACCCTCCCAACCCTACCCCTCTAGACGCTTTGAACTTCTGAAAGCATTTACAGTCTGTACTGCACAACCGGGCAATTGGTTACATGTTATCTTGCTTCCCCAACTGGACTGCTTGGAGATTTAGAAAATTTAGAAAATACCTTGGAGGCTATCTAATCCAAACCATACTTGAGAAGTAATTCCCCATGTAACATACCTAACAGGTGGTAGCCTCCATTCAGTGATGAACATTTTCTCACCCAGCACACCCTGCACATCCCAATCATTCTGAACACCCTGAGGGTCATCATCCAAATCTCACTGTCCATCCCCCATCACTTGATTCCTCATTCCCAACCCCTTCAACTCTCCCTGAAAAATTCCAATCAAATACCACCCACCTTCCACTGTGCCCTCTGGAATGCTGGTTCTATAAGCAATAAACTTCCCTTCATCCTAAATCGGTTCCTCTCCCACTCCTTCCACCTTCTAGCTGTCACTGAAACCTGGCTTTCCCTAAAGACACAGACTCTTGGGCCACCCTTTCCAGTACTGGCTGCACCTCCACTCATTCCCCTCAGCTCACTGGTCAAGGCAGGGGAGTTGGAAGTCTACTTGCTCACCACTGCCACTTCCAGGTTCTATTCATCTCTATTATACAATCAAAATCCCAGTATAGTTGATTTTTGTCACTCATGGTAGTTATGTTCTATAAAGTTGTGGTGAACAATGAATTAGCAAATATGAAAACACTGCTCCTGAGGGAAATACAGGATTAGGTTTCCATGAGCCTCTGGTCACATTTATTGAAGCACTTTTCAGAGCAGCCTCACAGACACATTGGTGAATTTTCTTTTCCTTTTTCTAGTTGTACCATATTGGGAACACTGAACTCAGGGCCAAGAGCACTGTACTCCATGTCTAACACACATACTTTCTGCATAAGGTACTTCCCAGCCTTCTTCCACTTAGGAACACTAGACAGCACTAACGCACTGTATCTGGGGGCTGTTTTAAATGACAAAATCACCAAGGAAAAATGTGGAACAATATGACATTAAATAGAGTGGGAAAAGGAAACTTGTTTATAGAGTTGAAAGAAGAAAGCAGAGCATCACTTCATTCGACCTCAGCTGGAAACAGGTTGGACAACTCAAAGTTTTCATCACTCTGCAAAAACACTGCAAGCTACAAATAAATTTTAGTAAGCTGGACAGTACCC